TTTTTTCTTAAGGACAGGACAATTTTGTTTCAATATCCTCGTCTTTTATAATATGCACATTTTGAGAATAGGCGAGGTTTTAGGATTGTGAAAGGTGGGTTTTGACTTTCTGGTTTTGGAGAGATTTGTAAGACAAAGACCGTTTTTCTCCAGAGAACTGGGTTACAGCCTGAATATCAAGGAACTGGTTCACGTTTTTATTTTATTTTATTTTTTTTAAATTTTTTTTTCAACATTTTTTATTTATTTTTGGGACAGAGAGAGACAGAGCATGAACAGGGGAGGGGCAGAGAGAGAGGGAGACACAGAATCGGAAACAGGCTCCAGGCTCTGAGCCATCAGCCCAGAGCCTGACGCGGGGCTCGAACTCATGGACCGCGAGATCGTGACCTGGTTGAAGTCGGACGCTTAACCGACTGCGCCACCCAGGCGCCCCCAAAATTTCCCCTTCTTAAAATCCAGCCCCGTCTGTTTTAACTTCCTCTTCCCTACAAGATTCAGAGAGAGTACTCCAGCCTAATCTCTAGGTTCTAAGTATATCAACTATTCTTGTAAACGCCGAAAGCAGAAAGTGATTTTAGCGGAAGTCTGAGAAACAAACCGTAGGGCCTGGTTTACTATGATCAATCCCGGCCAGCCTCAGGCGTTTTCATGCATGACCTTTGCAAGTGTATCCTAGACACCCCCCACCGCCCACCAGAGAATTCCTGTCTGTGGAACAGCAGCACACGTTTTAAAGTATAAAGCTAATACTTTATACTAACAGAAGGATTATAGATGTCAAGGTTGAACCGTATAACCAGAAAGAAGGCTTCTGTTAAAATGCTTTATTTTATACAGACTTTACAAAGACAACCATCTTTTGATTCTCATTTTCATTAAAAATCTCCCTGATATAAATAAGTAAATCTACTTAAAAACGTGAACCAGGGGCGCCTGGGTGGCGCAGTCAGTTAAGCGTCCGACTTCAGCCAGGTCACGATCTCGCGGTCCGTGAGTTTGAGCCCCGCATCAGGCTCTTGGGCTGATGGCTCAGAGCCTGGAGCCTGTTTCCGATTCTGTGTCTCCCTCTCTCTCTGCCCCTCCCCTGTTCATGCTCTGTCTCTCTCTGTCCCAAAAATAAATAAAAAATGTTGAAAAAAAAATTTAAAAAAAATAAAATAAAATAAAAACGTGAACCAGTTCCTTGATATTCAGGCTGTAACCCAGTTCTCTGGAGAAAAACGGTCTTTGTCTTACAAATCTCTCCAAAACCAGAAAGTCAAAACCCACCTTTCACAATCCTAAAACCTCGCCTATTCTCAAAATGTGCATATTATAAAAGACGAGGATATTGAAACAAAATTGTCCTGTCCTTAAGAAAAAAGGTAAATTTTAAATTGCAATTATCCTGAAGCTCTCATAAAAATTTTTTTTTACATTCTCTGTCCCTTGAAATGATTAAATCTTATCACATCTCTGAAATGGAAGCGCAGCCCACAATCACCTGAGACTAAAGGAAAAAAAAAGTGGTGGAAAAAGGCCCTTCTATTTTTTTGTTTAAGTAGGCTTCACAAGCTCTACTGAGCCAGCCAGGCGCCCCTTTTAAAATACAAACTGCCGAAAGGGTTCTCAAGACCAGACTCCAGCCCCTTTGATAACAGACAGATACGCTCCAAATCTCCACCTTGAAGAAAACTGGATACTTTTTCTGTAAATTTTCTACCCACCCTCTTCTCTAGGACCTAAGAGCCATTCTTTAAAATGCAAAACTTTAGGGGGAAGTTTTCATTCCCCCCCCCCAAAAATAAATAAATACAAGGAGGTATTTGGAAATATCAGTCAAAACAAAAGCTATAAATTTTTGTTTATATCTCATCTATGTATTTGTGTCCATCTATGTTGTAAATATGAGATATTTTCTCTAACTCCAAATGATACTGCTAAAGGAGCAGTAAAGGAGCTCTATTTAGTTGGTTTGAAGGCAAATGGTTGGAAAATTTGGGCATCCTAAAACTCTCAGAAAGCTAGAATTTAACCCAAATGTTTTTCAAATCCATGGGATCTGAAAACAGATGTGATATGAAAACTAGTTTAGGGGTGTCTGGGTGGCTCAGTCAGTTAAGCATCCGACTTCCGCTCAGGTCACGATCTCATGATTCTTGAGTTCAAGCCCCACATCAGACTCTTGAGTTCAAGCCCCGCATCTGTGCTGACAGCTCAGAGCCTGGACCCTGCTTCGGATTCTGTGTCTCCCTCTCTCTCTTTGCTCCTCCTCAAAAATAAACAAACATTAAAAAAAAGTTTAAAAACAGACAAATCTTCAGTTATCACCATTAAATATAAAACTTTTATTCTACCTATCGCTTACAACATCGGCCACCAAAAAATAATAGCTTAGGGATAATGGCAGACTTTGTTTAATGTTTAATCAAGTTTTGGTAGGTAATTTAAACATAATTGCTTAACAAATAAAAAGTTTTAGGTAACCTTTTTTTTTTTTTTTAATTTTTTTTTTTCAACGTTTATTTTATTTTTGGGACAGAGAGAGACAGAGCATGAACGGGGGAGGGGCAGAGAGAGAGGGAGACACAGAATCGGAAACAGGCTCCAGGCTCTGAGCCATCAGCCCAGAGCCTGACGCGGGGCTCGAACTCACGGACCGCGAGATCGTGACCTGGCTGAAGTCAGACGCTTAACCGACTGCGCCACCCAGGCGCCCCTTAGGTAACCTTTTAAAATAGCGTCCAAATCTTTTTAGTAACTTGAAACCTTCAAGTTTTGCTAAGTTAAATGACGAGTTAAGATAAATTCATTAAATATCTAGATCCTTTCCAAATAGGACAAAATACTAAAACATTACTAAACACAGGTTCATCTTTTGATTACAGAGAAACTAAAAGATATTTAGGTGTGTTAATGCTACATTAAAATATTTAGGGGCACCTGGGTGGCTCAGTCGGTTAAGTGTCTGACTTCAGCTCAGGTCATGATCTCACGGCTCATTTGTGAGTTTGAGCCCTGAATCAGAGTCTCTGCTGTCAGCACAGAGCCTGCTTCAGATCTTCTGTCGCCTCTCTCTCTACCTCCTCCCCACCCACTCTCCCTCTCTCTTTTTCAAATTTTTTTAAAAATTTCAAAAAGACATACATATGTTTCTAGAAATTATAAAATGTATTCATAAATTTGCAAATTTAAGGAATACTGGTTACCAGACCATTCACAATTGCTTACTTCTTACTTTTCACTAGAAATTAGTTCCTAAGTTAGAAATTCAAATTAATATATGTAATTAAAACTACTAAAAATAAGGGAAACATCTCCATATGCCAAGGAAGTAGGATATGTTTTCACTAAAAGTATGAGAATTAGAGATGAATTTTTGTTAAGGGGTAAACAAATTAAAAACACATGATAAAACAGAAATGTAGGGGGAAAAAGTTATAGGTTTGTTGAAAAGAAGTCTTTGAAAAGGAATATTAATGTGTGATCAAGCTGGTTAAGATTAAAA